AAGAATAAACAACCTTCCTTCAGGTTTACACTGCAGCGAACAGAGAGAGGTCCTGAACTTGAGGGAATCCAATAGCTTCTCCTTTGTACACAGGCTCAAGCCATTCAGGTACCTTGTAGCCAATCACATAGTTACTGGCAGGGAGAGGGCCTTTGTCATCGATACCTCATCATTCATCCAATCAGCTAATTGTACCAACTAAGGTTCCATCTGCATCCAACCCCTTGACTCCAGTTTGTCTGCAAACCACACTTTAACCACAGCTCGAACAAGCAGCTGTATAAGGAGTGCTTACACTGTCAGGTTTCTTCTCTCAAAGCATGCAGCAATCCTTTGTTTTAAAGCAGTTCTTTTCTCATTTCAGTTCACAATTGAAAATGCAGAAAAATAAAACGACACAGCCTTTACAATATTCACCCCAACGACACAGTCTATATCATATGCACCCCAAAGGGAAGGTGTGGCCTCAGTTTAACATCTCACCTGGGGCAACACTCCCTCAGTATTCCCTAGGATTTCTGCACAGGTGGGACTTGAACCCATGATCTTTCTGATGATTAGTGGGTATGAGATTTTTTTCTTTCTGACGTGGCGCCTCGCCATCTTTCGGCTTTGAGAGTCTCTTAACGGTTCTCACTCTGTTTGACGCAAGTGGCATTTTATTAAATGAATAAAATGAATATTAAATGCAGGAGCCCTGACTGAAGGAAAAGCGTTACAGTTTGCTGCTTTCAAAATATTTTTAAGTCACAGGGCTGGCCTATTCAAACTGAGTCATACCACTCTCTTTGCCTAGAGAGAGAACCTAAACAAGTTTCAGCAAACTCATTGTAAACAAGACCAATTAAATTTACTTCCTCTCTCAGTGACACAGTCAGCAGCTAACTGCATAGCTCTTAACTTCGCCAAAAAAACCCCTACTCCTGCCCCCCTCTCACATTGTTAGAATAATGAGTAGTAATAGCAAAGGCGCTGGAATGGGCAATATCAGTGAACAGCACACACAGTGATCAGTGGAGCAGGAAAGTCAACATTTCGGGCTGAAACCCTTTGTCAGGACCGGGGTGGGGGGGAAACCCAGAAGTAAAGAGGGAGGGGGTGGGGCTGGAGGGAGGGTAGATGAGATGGAGATAGGTGAATGCAGGTAGAGGGTTATTGTGGCTGGTTAATGGGAAGGGTGGAGTGGACAGGTGAGTCAGATGATGGACAGGTTGGGGGAAGAGAGATTTTGAAGCTGGTGAAGTCAATATTGAGGCCATTGGGCTATAAGCTCCCAAAGTGAAGTATCAGGTGTAGTTCCTCCAAAACCTTAGTAGTTCCTCCAGTTTACGTTTGGCCTCACTGTTACAGTGGAGGAGGCCAAGGATGGACATGTCACCAGGGGAGTGGGAGGGTGAGTTAAAGTGGATGGCAACTGGAAGGTCAGGTTAGTTGATGTGTGCAGAGCACAGATGCTCCCCAAACCGGTCCCTGAGTCTGTGTTTGGTCTCCCCGAAATAGAGGAGACGTTGACTTCTCTGATCCCCAGATGCTATCTGACCTGCTGTGCTCCTCCAGCTCCACATTTATTGAGTCTAGCTTCCAGCATCTGCGGTCCTTACTGTCTCCAAGTCAGCCATCAGTGGGCAGTTCACAGATTCTTTCTCTTACTTCCTCCCTCTGTTGTTCAAAAAAAATTCTAATCATCTAAATAAGACCACAACAAATTAGAAGCTGCTTTCCATGGTAGCCACAAGTCAAAAAGTACTTCTTTGAATGTAAAGTACTCTAGGACATCACAAGGCTACTTAAGGCGCTACATAAATGCAAGATTTTCTTTCTCCCGTAGTCCAGGAAATGTACCTGTCACTGATTATTTAAGAACTTGTATTTCTACAATCCATTGCATTGCCTCAGGGAACCTTTGATCACTCAGAAATAGAAAAGGCAGGTGAATACTTTAAGCATCTTTGGAGGTTTTGCAGTTGAAGTGTCAGCCATAGTGTTGCCAAACTCTTGTTCAACATATTCCTGGAGATGGTCATCACATTACCTTCTGTCTCTAACTGCCCTGGCCTCACAAATCCAACTAGTTCTCCAACCTGTCCATCTTCACCTTCCCAACCAATTAGGAAGTCAATGGCCTTATTGTTACCTGATTGGATGATGCTTGACTGTTCAACAAACAGTGTTAGTGCCCCCGCAGTATTTTCAGAATTTCAAAGCAAAAAGTGTTCAAAGAATCTTTTTGGAAGGATATATTTTTAATGTGCCTTTCAGATTTTCTCCCTGTGTAGCAACACCCCTTGGATTAACGTTTGATTTTTAGACACTCCAGGGCAATCCAGGAGAGTTGGCAACTTGAGCCCAGCCCCATGTGTCCAACAAAACAAAGGTGGTGGTGAGGAGCGGGAGGAGAGCTTACCTGGAAAGGGGCTTTGCCAGTCAGGCACTGGTATACAATGGTTCCAATACTCCACAGGTCTGCCTTAGCATCGTAATGTTGGGACATGATGACTTCTGGGGCCTGGTGACCAAAGGCCAGACAAGAGTTAAGATCATGAAAAATGTAAGAACTAGGAGCAGGAGTAGGCCATTCAGCCCCTCGAGCCTGCTCCAACATTTAATACAATTATGATTGATCTCATCTAGGCCTCAACTCCACTTTCTTTCCCATTCCCTATAACCCTTCAAACCATTACCAATTAAAAACCTGTGTATCTCCTCCTTCATTTCACTTGCACTCTGGGGTAATGAATTCTACAGATTCATGACCCTTTGAGAGAATTAATTTGTCCCCATCTCTGTTTTAGATCTGCCTCTCCTTATCCTAAAGCTATAATCTCTCGTTCCAGATTGTCCCACACGAGGAAACGTACTCTCTACACCTACTTTGTCAATATTCTTTAGCATCTTTTTCGCCTCAATTAGATCTCCTCTCGTCTTTCTAAACTCTAGTGAGTATGGGCCTAAACTGCTCAATCTCTCTTCATAAAACAAACCCCCTCATCTCCGGATTGAATAGTTGAAAGTTAGAATTGTGACTTCACCAAAAACACACTGGTAATCCCGATTTCTTCAGAAAAATTGCTTAGTTGTGGACACAGAAATGGGGTGGATGGAAGAGAAGTGGAATAAATGGGAGCCTAGTTACGGCATTGAAAGGACCAACTGCAGCGGGAGCAGGCCATTTGGCCCCTTTGAGCCTGCACTGCCGTTCATTTTGATGGTCAGTCATCTCAACTTTGTTCACCCTCTTTACTCTTCTCCAACAAAAATCTGTCGACTGTAAGTTGTGAGAAGTCAAACAGTGTCCAGTATCTATGGCCTTTGAGTCCTGGAGGGAATGAAGCTCAATACCACCAAGAGATTACACAAGCTTCAAAAAGTGTCAAATTAGTGGGTTAGGCAAATTTGGAGTGTATTCCCTTGAATTTAGGAAGTGATGGGATGATTGTGTTTTGACAAAGATTCATTCCTGGGACATGGGCATCACTAGCTGGTCCAGCATTTATTGTCCGTCCCTAGTTGCCCCCTTGAGAAAGTGGTGGTGAGCTGCCTTCTTGAACCACTGCAGTTGATGGGGATGTAGCTACAGATCATAAGGTAATTGATTCAGCTTGTTTAAACATTTAGAAAGATTTGCTCAGGTGGATAGAGGAGGCTGTTGTGGCGCAGTGGCAGTGTCCCTATCTCTGGACAGGGAGGCCCATATGCAAGCCTCACCTACTCTGGAATTATGTCATAACACCTCTGAACAGGTTAGTTGGAAAATATCCAGGGTGAACCAATCAGGAGTGCGAGGGCATTATTTTACATCCAGAGCTGGGCCAGTGTAGACCAAAAATCGGAAATGCACAATCGGGTAACGGAAATCCAAAATGTCTCACGTTGCTGGTTATGGGTCTTTCTTTCTGAAAGTCAGCTGCTGCATTTTCTACAACAGTCACGGCAACCAAAGAAAATTAAAATTATTTTGTTTGAAGTAAAGCACCTTGGGAGGAGGTCACGATAGGCGCAGGCGAAATGCGTATGCTTACAGACTGAACGCACGAGGGAGAGCAGGGCCCTCACAGATGTACACCTCACTGATCCACTGCCCCCGCACAGTTTTGTTGTCTAATCAGTGGTTTGTGTGTTTAAACTGGTAAACAAGGCCAGCTGATGTTTTCCTAATGATTCATAATGACCTGTTACAGTATCTGAGGAAGAGTTACATCAGCCAGAGCACACTCCTCCATGATTCACAACTTGAGTAGAAGATTAAACTATTTGCTTCCTGGACAGTTTTCATTGTGTCTGCAATGACAGAGTTGCATCAGAAATGTTGATGTTTGTTTTTCACTAACTGTGTCACAACAATGTATTCTCACTTCTTTACCCCTTCATTCTGTTCCAGGACGTGGACATCTCTGGCAAGGCCAGTGTTTGTAGCCTATCTCTAATTACCCTTCAAGTGAGTGGCTTGCCAGGGTCATTCCATAGGGCAGTTAAGAGTCAACCACATTACACCGTGGGCCTGGAGTCACATGTAGGCCAGACTGGGTAAAGACAGCAGATTTCCTTCCCTGAAGGTCATTAGCGACCCAGTTGGGTTTTTACAACAATGCATATCATGGCATAGATACTGAGAAGTGCCACATCAGGTCAAGTTGTGGCTCAGGGGTTAGCACTGCTGCCTCACAGTGCCAGGGATTGATCCTACCCTTGGGCGACTGAAAGTGGAGTTTGCATGTTCTCCTTGTGTCTGTGTGGGTTTCCTCCAGGTGCTCCGGTTTCCTCCTACAGTCCAAAGATGTGCAGGCTAGGATGCTGTTCAGAGGGTCAGTGCAGACCTGATGGGCTGAATGGCCTGCTTCCCTTCTACCAGTCATGATCCTATTGAATGGTGGAGCAGGTTCAGGTGGCTGAATGGTCTCCTCTGTTCCTTTCTCTGATTGTCTTATTGACTAAATGCTGATACACATGACACACAAAGATGCACTATGTATGATACGATCTGCCAAACAACACTTTTCACTGTAACTCAGTACATGGGACAACAATCAAACAGACACACTCCCCTGGGATGGGAGATGTAGAGAAGGCAGCTCCGAGGAATTCTAAACCGAGGTGGGCAATAAATGCTGGGCCTAGCCAGTGATGTCCTCAACCCATGAAGGAATAATAAAATAAAATCTACAGGCTGTGTTTTCCCAAACTTCCCAAGACATGGCACTGATAACTCACTGATCAGACTAGTAGGTGGGAACAGGATGAGGTATTATTATTTCAGCCATTCCTGTGTTTTCAGTGCCATCAAGGTGTTCCACACTCAGTAGCCCCAGCCCAATTACTGTTTATTTACAATTCATACCAGGGATGTGGGCATTGCTGGCAAGGCCAGAATTTATTGATGATGCCTGGTTGCCATTAGGAGATATCGCTGAGCCACCTTCCCTTTAAACCAAGTGTAGGCCCGAAACGTCAGCCTTCCTGCTCCTATGATGCTGCTTGGCCTGCTGTGTTCATCCAGCTCTGCACCTTGTTGTCTCTGTATCTGGGAAATCTGCGTTTATTTATCCAATGATCACATGGGATCTCACTGTGTGTAAACTGAGTGCTGCACTTCTTACATTACAACAATGACAGCACATCAAAAAGCAATTCAAATGTTTGCAAACTACTTTGCGGCAGCATGTAAATGAAAGTCTTTCTATCTCATGGGCCATCAGTGAATGTTCGGGAAAGCTAACAAATTTCTTTAACTTGTTTCTCTTTTAGCTGTAATCAAAGCAAAATCCTGCAGATTCTGAAAACGCTGGAGAAACTCAACAGATCTGGCAGCATCTGCAGAGAGAAAGCACAGTCAATATTTCCAGTCCAGTGACTCACTTAACAAACATTAATTCTATTTCTCTTTCTATGGATGTAAAGACTTTGTTAAGTGAGTCACTGGACCAAAACATTATCTCTGCTTTCCCTCCACAGATGCTGCCAGACCTGCTGAGTTTCTCCAGCAACTTCTGCTTTTAGTTCTTTTGGCTAAAACTTTTCTTTCAATATCTTCCCATGCTTTGAAACTAAAAATCTCAAACTGTTGTGGTGAGATTGAAAGGCACATTCTCTGGATGACAAGACCAGCAAATTAATTACTCGACGACCAAACATCAAGAACAAACCAACTGAGAAATCCCTCAGGACGGTACTCACCATATACATGGGGGATCCACACAACGTTGCTGCTAACATGTTGGTCTGTAAATAGCGAGCGAAGCCAAAGTCAGCTGTGAGGGGGGTGTAAGGAGTGAGTATTATTGCCAAAGCAAGCCTGCATTGTGTTTGCAATTCAAACATTGCAACAGTCTATCAACCAAGTAATACAAAGCTGTATGTTTAGAAAACAGTGTTATCAAGGCAATAATTTCTTTCAATTGGAAGCGAATGGTAAAGTCATTTGGATTAATTGTTATCATCATGAAGTGATCACCAGCAAATCCTTTGGACTGCTCTGGAGTCGTGTGACGTTTCACCTCATGCGCAAAGTTGTGAGAATGAGAAAAAAACAAGTTGCAAAATCGCCGTGGCATTAAAAAACTGGCTCTCCTCTTCCTTTTCACTGGGGGGGATTCCACTTCTCAAGTATTGGGGAGGACAGGAGGACTTCTGATCAGGTGGGAGTATGTTTGTGTGTGTGTGCGCGCATGTGTGTGTGCGCGCGTGTGTGTGTGCGTGTGCAAGAGAGAGACAGAACCCGGGACACCTAGTCCAGAAGTACAGACATTACCACTATGCCACGTATGTAGGGTTAGTATTGAAGGCAAAGGGACCATAATCCTACCAGGCCATGCGACTGCTCTCTCAGAGTCAGAGAGATGACTGGTGGTGGTTTAACCTGAGGGTCATCACACCTTGAAAAGGGGAAGTGGCATGGGAATTGAACCCTCTTCTATTGGCATCACACTGCATGGCAAACCTACCGTCCAGCTAACTGCCCCCAGTGTTATGGAGCAGGTAGGTAAGCAGGGATTGGGGTTAATCTTTTATTGATGAACTGGGTGGGGTTTGATTTAGCCCCCTCCTGACCTCTCCCTCCCCTTTGATAGTCGGCATTGCCCTTAATGGGGTTTGCACGATTGAAAAACACGGGGGATTTATTGTAGGTGGTTAATAAATGAAAATGACCACAGGTGACCTGGCGATGGGAAAAAGCTGGTTCCGTTGTTTGCGATACCACATCCAAAAGAAAATAAACTGAGTGCATAGGGAGGTTAATGGTGGCACAGTGGTTTATGTCGCTGGACGAAGAATATAGAGAGTGTGGGTTCATAACCCCACAATGACAGATGGTGAAGCAGATGGAAGAGTATCCAATATTCAGTGACACACAGTCTGAGGAGAGAGTCCTGCAGTTGGTGACACAGTCCAGGGAGAGAGTCCTGCCCTGGAATCTATATTTTCCTGCTGATGCCACCATTGCAGTATTTCAGCCAATTAATATTGACTTATCAAAGCAATCTGCAGCCTTTCTCTCCCCTCGTATAAATTGGTGCTCCCTGTGAAATTTGGCAGTTTTGCTTTTGCTCTGATGAATGGAAGACAAACAGCTTCAGCAACCTGTCTGTGTCTTCAGTGATATCACTGGGAGAGTTCTGTTCAGAGAGAAGGCATGATCGAGGGGGTGAGCAACAAACAGTGTGGAGGATGGGGGTAACTGATACATTGACTGTAACCCCTCCAGCATCAGGCAGTCAGAGGGGTGAAAAGCTCAGTTGGGTGAGGGGAGATGTGTGAAGTGGCGAGGAAGGAAATGAGATGATGTTAAAACTCTCATCAATGTGCTGGATTAATTTGCTTTTCCTCAAAGAGCAGGGGTTCCTAATCTTGAGGAACACAGTGTCAGAGAAGGACAGCAAGGTTCTCTCCAGCAGAAAGAACCACTTGATTGAGTAACCATGCCAAGGAAAATACTAAGAGCAGGAGTGGAAGCTATCACACTTCCATTTCTTGGCAACTTCTAAGTTTCAGGCAGAAAACTGGCTTCTCGTTCCGAAAAGAAGCAAAATTTCTCATTGGCTGAAGCGAAACTCACAGCTTTAATTGAATCTGCCCCAAAACTGGTTGGTTCTGATTATTTACAAGTCGTCTTCTGTTTATATCGTCACACACAGAAATGCAGCCTTCCATCAATACTCTTCATATTCTAAGCATTCTTCTTTCAATCAACATTCAATATGGCAAGGGAAGTAACAACATTCACAGACAGATTTCAGACAAGCTGGGAAAGAAGGTCAGTTTGCATTTCTGTAGCGCCGTTAACTTAGTAAAAATGCCACAAAACGTTTCACTGCAGTGTCAATATTCTGGCCCCTCTGGAGATATGAGAGGATCCAGGAGGACACTCTTGGAGAAGGGAAGGTAGAGAGGCTCCAGGAGAGAGTGCTAGAGCTCAGGCAGCTGAAGGCACGGTCGCTGATAGCTGGGAGGATAAAAATCAAGTACGCAAGAGGCCAGGCTTAGAGAACTGCGGAGATCTCAAAGGGTTGTGGGAGGTAACAGAAATGGGGGAGGGGGGGGAAACGAGGTGACAGGCCACGGAGGGAGTGGAAAACGTGGATGGGAATTGTAGGATTGAGTTGCCTCTGAGCCAGACCTCACTGATACAGTGAGTGAATGGAATTTGGTGCAAGTTAGATATGGGCAGGGAGGGCTCAGACTTAGAAACTGAGCATCAAAATACTGACTTATAGTGCGCGGGATTTCAGCAAAATGTAAAATATGCCAAAGAGACAGTTGGTGAATTGTGAGTTCACTTGGGCTGTACTTGGGTTTTGTCCTTGCAATCTCGAACTGTAGGGAGCGTAGCAAGTTGCAGATCACTGCTGACCCGCACCATGAGATGCCTGTGGAGGTGAACATGACCGCGTGGGACTCTCACCTATCTTGATCCGGATATTGTTGGGATTGGATTTACGGCCTCCCGTGCAAGATAGCAGGATGTTCTGGGGCTTCAGGTCACGATGGATGACCCCCTTGCTGTGCAACATCTTCATGGCACCAGCTATCTGCTGCAGGAACAGTCGGATGGTGTCCTCACTGAGGGTCCCCTTCGCTGGAAAGGAAACACAATGTCAGGCACTTAAGCTGTGTCCATGCCAGTGGGGAAACACGCTCATCAATTCACAGCAGCTGAAATGAATCACTGGGATAGACTGCATTGTGCTCTGGGATTGTACTGTGCTCAGCTTCCACATCACACCCTCTAATCCTATTAGCATGTCTGTACCAACCATCCCCTTTGCAACTAGGGCATTTAAAGTTGCTTTAGGCTAAAATAGCAACTTGTAATCACCAAACTCTAAAGCAGACTCCTCACACACCCCAGCACAGAGCATTTTCTCTGCATTAATCTCCTGCCACCACCTTAAATGTCCTAACGCACAAAGCGATTCTTCAATTTTTATCAGAGACAAGTAACATTTACTATGTACAGGTGCAAGGCAATGGTCTCTAGGAGAGAGTTTAACCATTAGACACTCAATAGCATTCCCATGGCTGAATCCCCCATTACCAAAGCCCTGGATATCACCTCTGACCAGCAACTCAACTGGACCAGCCATATAAATACCGTGGTAACAAGTCAGACTCTGGGAATGGTGTGATGAGTAACTCACCTCCTGACTCCCCAAAGCCTGTCCACCATTTACAAAGCACAAGTCAGGAGTATGATGGAATACTCCCCACTTGCCTGGATGAGGGCAGCTCCAACAACATTCAAGAAGCTTGACACCATCCAGGACAAAGCAGCCCCCGCTTGATTGGCACTACATCCACAAACATCCACTCCCTCCACCACCGACGCTCAGTAGCAGCAGCGTGTCCTCTACAAGATGTGCTGCATAAATTTCTTTCCTTCAACAGCATGTTCCAAACCCCTGAACACATCTATCTTGAAGGACAGCAAATACATGTGACTGCCACTCCCTGCAAGTTCCCTTCCAAGCCATTCACCATCCTGACTTGGAAATATATCGCTGTTCCTTCAGCATCACTGGGTCAAAATCCTGGAATTACCTCCTTCAGTGCATTGCGGGTCTACCAACAGGAAATGATTCAAGAAGGCAGCCAGGGACAGACAAGAAATCCAGTGAATTAATGTCTTTTACACGGTCCTTAAAATAGGATCTAGTATGAATTTGAAAACTCGTGTTTGGTGTGAGCTGAGATTTCAGTTAGATTCAGAGGGAGAGGAAGGATCAGTTGGATCACTATGCAGTGCCTTACTGCAAGTTGCAAAGTGTAGATGTGATTGAAGAGACAGTAGTGTTTGGGTCAGATGCTCAGGCTGGCCAGCATTTATCAGCCGTCCCTAATTATGCCTGAGAAGGTGCCGATGAGTTGCCCTCTCGAACTACCGCAGTCGTTGGGGTGCAGGGATAACACAATGCCCTTAGGGGGTGAATTCCAGGATTCTGACCCTGCAACACTGAAAGAACAGCGGTGTATTTCCAAGTCAGAATGGTGAGGGGCTTGGAGGGAAACTTGTGGTTTGCTGTCTCATTTCAATCCATGATTTGAGCCTCTACCATCCAGAAGGACGAGGGTAGCAGGCACATGGGAACACCACCCCCTGCACAGCCCACTTTTGCTGTCTATGGGAGCTTGCTGTGCTCATTTCCTACATTACAACAGCAAGTCCAGAAGTACTTCATTGGCTGTTAAAGTGATTTGAGACAGCAGGATGGCAGGAAAAGTCTTTGTTCTGTTTTGTCCTATTCCTAAGGCGATCAGTCAACCTCACGGTGAACTCGAATCCACTGTCCTGAGCAAATACAGCCAGATGTAACCATCTGTACAGCCATGATCATTTCCTGTCACTCTAGTGAAGTGACCTTTATTGTAGACTTACAATGGAGGTAGTCAGCAAGGTCGCCACCATTACAGTACTGGAAAAGACAAAAACACATAGGTTCAATCGTACTATTCTGTGGTTATCCCAATCTAACATTGTTTATCAGCATCATGTGAAAGTGGAGTGCTTGGAGCAGACCCAGTGGGTAATCAGTATCTCAGCTGCTGAGAGGCACTGTTCGCTCAGAACCCGAAATCACATTTAACAGTAAAGCAGTGTCTGGTGACATTACTGAGGCTGAGGGTTACGGAATGTGTCATGGATATTCGGGAGAAGTCCATGCACTCCCCAGCTCCCTACCCCACCTCCCTCATTGCCATGGACCCAAGGAGTGTCTGTTCTTGAATGCTGCTGTTTGGGATGGCACGGTGGCTCAGCGGTTAGCACAGCGGTTAGCACTGCTACCTCATAGTGCCAGGGACCCAGGTTCAAACCCAGCCTTGGGCAACTGTCTGTGTGGAGTTTACACATTCTCCCCGTGTCTGTGTGGGTTTCCTCCGGGTGCTCTGGTTTCCTCCCACAGTCCAGAGATGTGCAGGTTAGGGTGGATTAGCCATGGGGAATGCAGGGTTACAAGGATAGGCTAGGGGAGTGAGTCTGGGTGGGATGCTTTTCAGAGGGTCGGTGCAGACTCAATGGGCCAAATGATCTTGTTCCACACCTTAGGGATTCTATGATTCTAAACACACAACAAGGCACCTAGGCTAGGCAGACGTTAGCCTTGGAGCAATAATTCATGACATTTATCCCCCAAAGTAGCCAGGACCCCCTACATAACTCACCTCCATCACCAGATAGACAGAATTTGCCATCTCCTGTAAAATGGAAAGATGTTGATTAGAAATAACAACATTTTCATACAATATATTTGTGCACAGGATGCTGACCTCTGGTCCGCAAGCCTTTCTTGCTGAGATTTTTAAATGGTTTGCATATTTCCCATTGTGAACTGCTATGTCTATATTTATTATACATTATGGTTAAGTCCACTGTCACAATGTAGTGACACATTCTGACCATTAGGCTGGTGCCTTGGATTAAGGCCGTAACACCATAAGAGACAAGGACAGGAGGAGGCCATTCAGCCCCTTGAGCCTGTTCTGCCATTCTATAGGATTGTAACTGATCCAACATTCCTCACATCCACTTTCCTGCTTTAGCCTCTCAAGTTCCTCTCTCTCTTTCTCATCACTTTGAGCACTTTGTGTGTAGGAAAACAAAATGTCATTCATTAAAAGTCCTTGCGCTACATCATGGTCACTTTATGGTCAAATAAAGGTTTAAATTGTCTAACTTGTTTGCCTCCACTTTTGAACACTCCTCTGCTGGAGGGAGGGACTTAGATTGGGTTATCAACCAACTTCTACCATTAGCCACCTGTCTGCCATACTTTGGTTCAATTAACTTGAGACAAGGTCAATGCGTAAATTCAACATTTGCTGCCCATCCCTAATTATACTTGAGAGGGTGAATGCAACTAAGCAGCTTACTTAGCTATTTCAGAGGGCAGCTGAGAGTCAACCACATTGCTGCAGGCGTGGAGTCACATGTCGGCCAAACGGGGTAAGGGTGGCAGATTTCCTTCCCTATGGGGAAAGATAAAGGTAACTTTGAAGGCATTCCAGAGAAGGTTCACTGAATTGATCCCAGATTTGGAGGGACTGTCTTACAAGAGGAGGGTGAGTAGGTTGGGGGTTACCTGTCTGTGGTGATCCTGTGACAGACTCGAAAAGAAGGATGTGCAGGGTTATGAAAAGGAGATGGGAGAATGACATTCAGTCATAGGGCTCATTCAGAAAGAGACAGCACAGACACAACATAGTGGATTGAAGAACCTCCCACCGAATGGGTGACATTTGGTGATGGAGGGGAATGTGGCAGGGCCACCGATGACCAAATCCCTTCCCCCAACCGTCTAGAGAAAGGGTCCTCAGGAATTTTCTTCACAGGACAGGTTGAATTGGTTTGGCCTGTTAATTATCGGAACTTAAAAAGAATGAGAGGTGACCTTATTGAAACACAAGTTTATTAGGGGGGGTTGACAGGCTAGAAACAGAAACATAAAGAGTCTAGGACCAGAGGGTATAATCTCAGAGTAAGGGGTTGCACATTTAAGACAGAGATGAGGAGGAATTTCTTCGCCCAGAAGGGAATAAATCTGTAGAATCTATCCTCGCAGAGGGCTGTCGAGGCTGGGTCATTAACTATATTCAAGGCTGAGATAGACAGATTTTTATTCAGGAAGGGAATTGGGGCTTCTGGAGAAAAAACACGAAAGTGGAGTGGAGGATCATCAGATCACCCTTGATTGCACTGAAACCCTAACCTTATGGGAGCAAAGGACTCGATGGGCCAAATGTCCGATTTCTGCTCCTTCATCTTATTATCTTCCGGTCTTTACAGCAACATTAATTGGCTGCCAGATGCAGGTTGACTGAATTGTTGATCAGTAAATATGAAAAACAGATGCCATTGTTGGATTACATGATCTCAAGACACGCACGTGAACTTTCACCTTTCTGCGGGTTTGGTAGTAACATGATAAGAGGAAAAGCTTTAAAAAGGTGTGAATAATTGACACACTTTGTTACTGCTCACTGCTGGTTGCTACACGTGTGGGGAATTAGTACCTGCAGAGCCTATAAACCACTTCTGATTAAAATTAATTCTTCCAGCTGCAGGGGTGGTATCATAGACCCCGGATGTAGTTTGTCAGCGTGGTTTACTGGATGTGCTCTAGTCTACACAATGCTGACTATCACAGCACAATGTCTGGTGAAATAACGATAAGGACAGGGTACTGTACACGCTTCCCCGTTGCCACCTTTCTCAGCAACCAAACCATGTCTTGCCCCGACCAATTTAAGTCAACTTAAAGTTTGACATGAAGGCAAACTAGCACAGGATGAATTAGATAGAGCCACTCATAGGCAGTGCCATTTAAAATAAATGTTAGCAGTATTAGCCTATCTAAAGTTCTGAGGAAGTGTCCCCGGACCCGAAATGTTAACTCTGTTTCTTCCCTTCACAGATGCTGCCAGACCTGCTGATCTTTTCCAGCAACTTTGTTTTTGCTAGCTTATCTAAATATGTACACAGCCCAGACTAGACACTGCATAAAGGAAGGCCACTCTGTACTCTCTAGACTAGCTGTTATTAATCACAAGATGGTTATTAGAGAGGATGCAATTGCATAATTGGGCTTGTATTAACAAACTACGTTAAAATAGCATCTTTCGTGTACCAGAGACACAAGTCATTACGTAGAGTTATTATCTAACTAAGGTTTGACACTGAGCCATACGAGAGGATGATGTGACCAAAACCTTGGTCAAAGATGTAGGTTTTTAAGGGCATCTGAAAAAAGAACAGAGGCAGAGAGGTGTTGGGAGGCAATTCCAGGAAGTAGGTCCCAGGCAGCTGAAGTATGACCACTTTTGGAGGAGCAATCAAAATCAGGACACACAACACATCACTTCAGAAGTGCCAATACACCTGAGGATTGTAGGTGCTGCAGAAGGTTACAGTGATAGGGAGGGGAGTAGGGGCTGGAGGAGGTTATAGAGATAGGGAGGGGTGTAGGGGGCTGGAGGGGGTTACAGAGATAGGGAGGGGT